AACACCACCCCCCCCTCCCACATTTCACTCAACTCCACATTCCGCCCCATTTCCCATTTTGTCCTATCGCTTGTTAAGTAGCTTAGCACCATGCTTCGTATTTTAAAAAAATGATAACTCTTTTTTTCTAGATTATACCGAAGATATTTTTTTTTTCGTTTCTCTGTTTTGATTGCTTGTTTGTTTGTTAGCAGGTCTGTTGTTATTCTTATGGCTGTTTGTGTGTAAGTGTGTGTGCGTGTGTGTGTGTGTGTGTGTGTGTGTGTGTAGGTGTGTGTGTGTGTGTGTGTGTGTGTGTGTGTGTGTGTGTGTTTGTTTTTCCTTTTGGCTGGCTAAACTCATTCAAGGATCTGAAAACGTTACTTTTGAACACACTGTGCTTCTCAGAGAAATTACTGTATTGCAAATAGAAACTCATGAGATCATTACTGAAATAAACGAGATCTGCATTTTATTTTCCCTTCCCCAGCTGATCACAATCACACACATTCCAAGAGACGGACAAAACTTGCTCCTAAACAAGCAGCGTGAGGAACAAGACTGTATCTGACAACGCTGCTGGAGCAGACACAGAGAGGCGAAGAAAAGTCAAATATCTGCCCAGAGACAGAGACTGACGTGTTGAGATAAGCCTCACCTCGGAATAGAACTGCTCTTTCTCTCTGTGTGCTGCTAAAAGTTGACACAGCGGGTGTGTGAGGTAACGTTGACAAAGGTAACAGATACTAGGTTAGATGTGTGGCCTTTGACCTGCCAACCTGTATTCTAGAGTTCTTTGACATAGATAAAGAGCGTGGACTGAGCGGTGTAGCATCGAGGAGATAGGAGAGGAGCGTTTGCCTGGCTAGGAGTGACATACATGGGACACGTCTTTCTGAGAGATAAGATTCAAAGGCGATTGATAACAGATCATTTGAATTAGAGAGTTTGCGGGAGATTCAAAGAGATCGGAAAGAGGACATCTAAAAGTCAAAGCACTCAGTTCAGTGGAGGTATTTTCAGGGACTCTTTAGACACATGTTTATAACCGGTTGGAATCGGTTACACTGTGAGTTTTAAGACCTAATTGTGCTGCCAGTGCCGTAAATATTTTACTGAAACTAATCAACATTGGCGTGAACATAAGACTTTAAAAAGTTGCTCCAGATAAATCGTTCAATGACGATCATAACCTGTTCCTTTGGACTACCTTCTTGCTGTTGATAACAGAACGTTGAGAAGAAAAGTTGTTTTTTACCCCAAGCTGTGTTGCTGTGATCAGACTGTGCGAAGATGGCGGAGTCCTTTGGTGGTACCAACCTTCACATCGGAGACATTTGCGTCATCGTAGCCTACTTCGCCTTTGTTCTCTTCGTGGGATTATGGGTGAGTAGTAGAAGTAGAATGAGATATAACAGGCGCCTGTGGTGTAGCAGTCAGGTGCTTCGCTGTCGCATGCAGGAGACCCAAGCTCGATTCCTTGGTGGAGCTACATTTTCATCAAGTATCTCTGTCTTTTTGCTGTTGGGATGTTGTATCCTTAATCAATCCGTGTTGGCCCTGACAGACAGGGTCGGAAGACCGCCTTTTAAGTAAACTGTGATGATTGGGGCGCAAATACTCCTTTAAAAAACAAACAAACGAAACATTGTAATAATATATTAATCAATTATTAAGTGAGTGTTGAAAGGGTCACAGTCTTCTTTCCCTACTTCGTTTCTTTCTCATTGTTTTTTCTGTCTGTCAATGTCTGTTTTTTCGTCAGCGCTAAATGCCTGTTATTGTGTCGATGTGGTTGTCGTTACACCAGTTCTGTCTTGCTTTTTTAAATATGCCCATACTGTTCACAATAGTAGTACTAGTACAATGTAGTAGTAGAAGTAGTGGTACTAGTGGCAGTAGTGGTTTTATTATTACTACTACTACTATTTTATTACTATTTCACCAGCAGACTCCAGAATACTCAGAAACATTCTTGCTATACACATTAGCTCTTTTGTGCATGTTCTCGTGCATCTTGAACGCTTACCAGCAAAAAACTAATATTAATTTGTACAGTTACCCTCGTTTTTCTTAAAAGTCTCATCGCCTTATGTGTCTAATCGGTATTAGGAGAGAGAATGTAACCAAGTAATTAAGTAAGTAAATACCTGTTATGAAGTTTGTTGACAATTCTTATCGTTATTGGTTATTTTAAAAATTATTTTTGTTGGTTTATGTCTGTACCTGTCTATCTCTCCCATTCCCAACCCCCCACTGCTCCTGCGCACCCATTCCTCCCTCCCTCCCTACCCCCCTCTCTCTCTATTCTCTCTCTCTCTCTCTCTCTCTCTCTCTCTGTGTGTGTGTGTCTTTCTCTCCCTCTTTTACTCCTCTCTCTCTGTCTCTCTCTCCTCTCTCTGTCTCTTTCTGTCTCTCTCTATCTCTCTGTCTCTCTCTGTCTCTGCTCTTTCTCTGTCTGCCTCTCTCTCTCTTTCTCTCTCTCTCTCTCTCTCTCTCTCTCTCTCTCTCTCTTTCTCTCTCTCGTCGATTCTAGTGTTCTCCATATGGCCGTGCCACCCAGTTTTTATTACATGCATTTAATTTTATCTTTTGTTCTCTAACAATTTTACAGACATCCAGGCAGAACAGAGGAAGTGCTGGTGGCTATTTCCTAGCTGGCAGAAATATGAACTGGATTCCAGTAAGTTGAAGTTACGGTAAAGCTAAAGACAGGTTCCAGAGTTTAAAAAGCAAACAGTGCTTTCAAGGAAATTTAAGGCAGACCAAGAACGATAGCTCAAGAATAAAGATACTTTCTTGCACCTTTACAGAGTGTCTTCCCCTTTTCAGATATTGCTCTCTCTCTCTCTCTCTCTCTCTCTCTCTCTCTCTCTCTTCTCTCTCTCTCTTTCTATCTCTTTTCTCTCTCTCTCTCTCTTTCCTGTGCTTCAAAAGACAGTGAAAAACAACATTAATGTGTGAAGTTGTGTACGAATTCATTATTTTGACGAGCGTCGGATTTCAATACCAAGTCACAATTTTTGTTTCTACTTTTATTGTTTCTACTTGTGTTTTCCTCAGGTTGGTGCTTCTCTTTTCGCCAGTAACATCGGCAGCTTACACTTTGTGGGTCTGGCAGGGTCTGGGGCCGCCTCTGGGATTGCTATAGGAATCTACGAGCTTAATGTGAGTTGGTTTGAGTATTTCTTTCTTTCATTCTTCCTCGTGTGCCTCTAGGGCGTCGAGGGGAGAAAGATCGTTCTGTCTCTGGCAAGCTGGATGGCCTTCTTGGGTGGGAAGTTTTGTGTCTTAAGAGCGTCCTTCACATCATCGATCCAAGTCTTTCTAGGTCTTCCTCTTGCTTTGAACTTGATTTTAGTACATGTGTTAAGATAGAAAACAATACTCTACCTGATATTCTTAAGTTGCTGTTAGGCTCGTTTATATCGATGTTTTTACGTTCCCATCAGCACAATTTAGTTTATTTCGGAGGCAGGCTTCGACCCTGCCTGTCAGGGTTAACCCGGACTGAGACGGATATAACAACCCAGCAGAAAGTTCAAGATACTAAATGAAAAATTTCCCTATTCGAGAATCGGAGTCCGGTCTCCTGCATAAGACGAGGTAGCACTTAACTGCTACATATTGAAGCATCAGTGTTTTAGTGGACCCATGCGTATATGTGTGCAATTGAGTGTGAGGGTTGGTCATGGAGTGAGAAGCATGTGTGTGTGTGTGTGTGTGTGTGTGTGTGTGTGTGTGTGTGTGTGTGTGT